GGGGGGGGGGGGGGGGGAGGAAGGACGGTTATTAGGTAAGGTTACCGTGGTTTAGGACTGTCCTCTCACAGCCGCCGGACCCGAGATTTGTTGCCTGAACCCGCATGAACGGGAACACCGTCGCCGCCATGGAGATGCCTGGCGCGCCTGCAGGCCGCCATAATTGGCCCGCGGGCGCGTAGACCTGCAAGTGAGAACACTTTTTTTTTCTTCCCTCGCAGGCACTAGACTCCTTCCAGGTGGTGCGGCGACCTGGGACCCGCGTGAAGCGGCGAAGGGGCCAAAAGGGGGCTTCCTTTTTCCAGGTCGCTCCCCGCTCCCCCTTCGGAGTATGTACTTCATCGCTGTCGGATTGAGTGAGTGGTACCCGCATGGAAGTCAGTCCGGGAATGGACTTGTGAGATGGAAATCGAAGGGGTCGAAATCGGAAAGGGAGCGAAGCGCCGGCTGCTGGGGAATGAGCTTTCCAGGGTCGCAGCTTCTCTCTCGGAAGGGAAGAGAAGGGATGTGGCTGTGGCGGTGCGGAGGACGGGACTTGCTCGAGCCTTTCTTTCTTTCGTTGCCGCACGGGCAAGTCACCATCCGGATCTTTTTCCAGGCACACTCGCACATCGGTCAGTCAGAGCAATACCTAGTATGTTCATGTACAGTACAGCAGGAGGGGGATATAGGTAGGCAGGGTAATAACCGAGGAGAAACAGTGTCCTCGAGCGCTTATTCAGACGTGTCCGCTAGTTGAGCCGACATGACTTGCCATGGGGTTTTTTTTCTCTTTTTCTCGTAGGGCATCTGGGCTTGTGCTTCCAGCTTGCCTTACTCGCGTGCAGCTGCAGACAAAGAAATCTGATGTGCCTCGGTGCTGACGGCACTTACTACGGGAGTTGTTAGCTACCTACAGCCTACCTACCTATGCATCAATCCATCAACTCTGGTCGGGTGGCTACACTCATCACAGCAGTTTCTGTTTGGATCATCCTTGGATCCAGAGACATGTAAGGAAAGGGATGACTTTAAAACATGTAATTATCTAGGCCTAGGTACTGTATGATCGTATGAAGTGAGTCAGGTTCAGGTTCTCTTGAGAAACGCCGGCGGTATGACAAGGCATGAAGGGATCTCTGTCCTCGTGGGCAACTCGGATTCCCTTGCCCTTGTTCAAGCCAAGGCAGCGGTATTAGTCTTCGATGGGCTGCAGGTGCCACCTGCCTAGGTACTGTAGTCACTACCTACCTAGGTACTACTATGCAGTAGGTGCCTGTAATTTAGTGCAAGTCAGGTGCTGGAAATAGCAGGATCCGCTCCGCTTGTCTTTTAGGGAGTGTCAGGCACCGAATTACCTTACCTAAATGCTGTGCAGCATCGGAGTACGCGTGCTGAGGTAAGTTGAGTGTGGCTTGACTGTAACTACCTAACGTTGCCTTAGGTAGGGGGAGGTAGCATTTAGTAGGCTTGCAGTGGGTTGGGTACCTTGATGGCCTGTGCACCGGAATAGATACAGAGACACACACACAGAAACGGAGAGTGGAGGGGCCTCGAGGGGGGGCGGAGGGATGCGGTGGGCGGGTCACATTCTTTCCCTTTCCCTTTCCCAAGCCAATCCTCCGCTGCTCTCTCTCTCACTGACACACTGAGTGCACTGCGCTGCTCCTTATTAGCAAATCGCTCCTTCCTCCTCCCTCACTCGCCCCCTCCTCCCCCCAAGACCAGCCCAGCCCCGGTTCGGGTCCCTCTTCACACGCACATACTATGTACAGTACGCACATACATAGATCCGCATACAATACATCCGCTGCATCACATCACATCACATCAGCAATCAAAAAGGGGACTCGAGCACTGCTACTCCAACATCACCCACCGAGACAATCATCATCTTCGTCTCTTATTCACTGTATAGGTCGAGTCTTATTCCTGCTGCTGCTGCTGCTGCTGCTGCTATTTCATTTCGCCCTGCGTTGCGTTGTTGACCAACGCCGCCGGCCCGCCGCCGCCTGGTTCCTCCTCCATCCATCCACCCACACTCACTTAACCCATCCATCCATCTACCTCCCTCACTCGTCTCACTCCCGACCGACCTCCTTCGGCAATCCGCTCAAAATCGAAACACCGCCCATCGTCCGCCTCTTCACCCACCCCGGAGTTTCTGTTCGATAGAGCACGCACCCGCCATGGTTCAAGACGTCTAATACTCATCACCGACCGATCTCCCCCCTTCTTTTCGGCTGCGGATCCTTGGGTTGCGGAACGCGTCGTCAACCCCTTTGGGGACTTCCTCGTGCCTGGTTCGCGTTCCAATCTGGCCCGCCACCAGCGACCTGCAGCCACCGAGGTCCCTCGACATCCGGCCGTCTACTTCATATCTTCACCTCTTCGAGCCGCTTCTCTGCCTCTCGTCCGTCCGCCTCGCTACTAGAATCCTGGTGATACTGAACCGACTCCGACATCTCCTCCGACCGCCTTTTCCCCTCTCTCGTGCCACCTCCCATCCTCCCCTCCACCCCTCCACATCGGCTCGTCTTCCTCGTACACCATGAGCTCCCCTTCCGCAGTTCAGAAGACCTTGGAGGTCCGAAGGCCACGCTCGAGCCAGAGGGTGTCGGTCAGCTGGGACGAGGCCGAGGATAGCGTCTCGCGCCGCACTGGACGCCTCCAGTTTGAGGTGGCAGAGTGTGTCGAGACTAAGACTGTCACAACTACTACTACCACAAAACGGTCGTATCCTCCTCTCTTCGTTCGAGAACCCAGAACCCTACAATCTCTAGATTCCAAAGAGTACCCCTTGGCTTCAAGACCCACTCCACCCGAGTTGGCCAGGTTCACACTCGACCTCGCTGAGTATGAGGAGAGTTCTTGGTCACTGGACGATGGACATGCGCTGTCTCAGGTCGGTTGCCCTTGCCTCTATCCACTTGATTATGCTAATTATGTCCATGTGCAGGCACAGCAAGTTCCTGACCTGAGCGTCAAGTCCGAGTCTGGCCTCGGCACACCCGTCCCTGAACTCGCCCGTCCTACGTCCAAATCGGCATCCGATGTCCAACTTCGTAGATCAGGTCGCTCCGGTGCGAGAGCCGCCTCGCCAACAACAACAGCTACTGCTTCCAAATCATTTCAAAGACCCACCCGCAGTCACGCCGCCACGTTATCCCACGCCGTTTCGGATAGACTGCGTCGTGCTGTTTCACAAGGCACACGAAAGGACACAGACAGGACTACCCGACAACCATCGGCTGGGTATCTGGCAACCCCTGACACCTCTGAAATTGCGACTGGAATCCTCGAACGACCCCAGCGCTTGAGATCTTTGCATCTCGACAGGCTCGGCGATTCGATCGACTCTGGTACGAGTCAAGGGACGTCCGTGTACGAAGCTGCAAGTCCTGTCGGAAGTGAATCTCAAACCGTCTTCAGCAACGTTGCCACCCCCCCGATCACCGATGCCGACGCAGAGCCTTTCGCTGACGCCGACGAATCTCTTCAACACTCGATCCGTGTATTCCATCCGCCTAGACCGAGCATCAACACAGTAGCGGCACAGGACGCCAGCCTACCTAGCCCACGACTTTCACCAACTCTTGCCGCTGCGCAACTCCATTCCGCCGACCAACAGGACGACGATGAGGAGGACGAAGACGAATCTAGTTTTCCCCGGCGTCAAGGCAGAGCCAACAGACGACGATGGCTGGATGAGAGCCAGTCTACCGTCGAAGACTTGGATTCATCGGATTTGGCTATGGTCATTGGGGACTCTCCTTCTCGATATGCTCAACAACTCGATGAAAGGTCTCCCAGTGTCATGGACACTCGGTCCATGCTAGAGACCTTTGACTCCATGCCGAACGAGATGAAGACATTTATGATGTACCAGCTCCTTCGCCGCTGTCCCCGCAAGACACTCCACATGGTCGCCGACGTTGTGAATCCGGCTCTCAAATGTGACTTCCTTAAGCAACTTCCACTTGAGCTCAGCCTCCACGTTCTCTCTTATCTCGATCACCGAGACCTCAGCCGCGCAGCCCAGGTTTCCAAGCACTGGCGCAATATCGTCGATAGCAACGAAACCGGCTGGAAGGAACTATTTGATCGAGACGGTTTCGAACTTCCCGCGGGAGAGCTCGAGAAGGCTATCACACAGGGATGGGGCTGGCAAGATCCTGTTGGCCCTGAAGGCTGCGAGCTTGACCTTAGCCTGCAGAATCGACTTACTTCGACTGAGACCGAGCTGATCAAGTCAACGGTCAAGTCCGAACCTCTCCCGAAGCTGCGCAGCTCGAAGCGGAAGCGTGGCTTGAACAACTTTAGCTCGGAGCGCTCGAAGCGACGTGCCAGCGCCCAGGAGGCGCCTAAGGATGATAGGTTTTACAATAGCACCAAGTTGCACAAATCTGAAGGACCCATCTCAGCCGCGAGTGCCGCTGCCGTGGCTGTTCCAGATCCACAGATTGGTCTCGCGAGTCTCCGAAAACTCCATCTGTTCAAATCCCTATACCGCCGTCACTACATGATTCGACAGAGCTGGACAAGCGGCAAAGTAAAGCCTGGCCATGTAGCGTTCGCAGCACACCCGCGTCACGTCATTACCTGCCTGCAATTCGACGAGGATAAAATTATCACGGGAAGCGATGATACACTTATTCATGTTTACGATACGAAGACGGGCAAGTTGCGGAAGAAGCTCGAAGGTCATGAGGGTGGGGTCTGGGCTCTGCAGTACGAAGGCAACACGCTTGTGTCGGGCAGTACAGACCGCTCAGTGCGTGTCTGGGACATTGAGAAAGGCCTCTGTACGCAGGTCTTTTACGGTCACACTTCCACAGTTCGGTGTCTTCAAATCCTTATGCCCACGGACACCGGGAAAGTACAGGACGGCAAACCTGTAATGATGCCGCCTAAGCCCTTGATCATCACAGGCTCGCGGGATAGTCAACTCAGGGTGTGGCGACTCCCTGAAGCAGGCTCGAGACGATACATTCAGACCGGCCCTCCCGCAAACGACGCCGAGTGCCCGTACTTTATCAGAATATTGTCGGGCCATGCACACTCCGTCCGTGCTATTTCTGCTCACGGAGACACGCTTGTCTCTGGAAGTTATGATTCTACGGTACGAGTGTGGCGTATTAGCACCGGCGAGGCTCTTCATGTCCTTCACGGTCACAGCCAAAAGGTCTACAGCGTTGTGCTAGATCACCAACGCAATCGCTGTATATCAGGGTCAATGGATTCTCTGGTGAAGATCTGGGATCTTGAGACCGGTGCTTGTCTACATACACTTGAAGGCCATTCCCTCCTCGTCGGTTTGCTCGACCTTCGGGACGAGCGTCTCGTCTCAGCAGCCGCCGACAGCACACTCCGGATCTGGGACCCTGAGAATGGCAAATGCAAAAGTACTCTGATGGCGCATACCGGTGCTATCACCTGCTTCCAGCATGATGGCCGGAAGGTTATTTCAGGAAGCGAGAAAACCGTGAAGATGTGGGACATCCAAACCGGCGATTGCATCCAAGATCTATTAACGGATCTGAGCGGTGTATGGCAGGTCAAATTCGATGGGCGACGCTGCGTAGCAGCTGTGCAACGAGACAATCTCACTTACGTAGAGGCAAGCCACTCCAATATCTTGTCAAGTGGAACGCAGCGGCTGACAGTTTTCTTAGATTCTCGACTTCGGTGCGGTCCGCGATGGAAAGCCACCAGAAGAGCTCGGCAAGCGTATCTTGCTTAACGCGCCGGATGTACAGCGGCTCATCGAAGAGGAGATGTGACCATGATTGCCAGTATTCTCGACTCAGCAAAAGACTTCCACCTCCCCAATCCAACATCCAAAAAATCTGGATCATGATATAAATGTGAATGATGGAAAACAGAACCAAAAGACCTCTGTATGCGTATGATCATTAGGCGTCCACATCATTGGCGACACTCATGCCGCGGTTTAGCTAGCATATTCCCATCCTGCTGAAGCCCATTGGGCGTCCCATTCTTAATCTCTCTCTTGCACTCTTGCACTCATCTGGCAGCGGCGTATTGGCTTGGAAGGCGGTGCTGGAAGGACGTCCAGGCGGATAGCTGTTTTCCCATTTTTACTGTGTTACCTCCTCGGCGAACTGGGGAGAGGAATTGCATTTGAATATATCTACCACCCACTACAGCTTACATAGTCTAATGACACAATGGGCATCTGTTTCACAGCGGTCCGTGAGTGACTCAGAAGTTTGACATTTCTCTATTGGGGTCTAGCCGTCCATGACACAGCAGTGATAGCTAAGCTACATCTATCGCAAAGCCTCACTAGACATAATCCATGTCTCTCGATCCATACAGCATCGATCCAAAGCTAATGTATCGCACGTCCGTATACGCCGGTGACATCTAATGCCAACTTAGCAAACAAGCTAAGTTTCTCAAATTAAGCAACAGAAAACACGGCGGTAGTGCAGGCAATGGGCGAGAAGGGCCGCGAGATATCTCTTTCGAGTCGCTGCTCAGGCACTGCCATCCAGTACCTCAACCCCCTCGTCACTAAAGCTGGTCTGCTCCAACTTCTTAATCGAGTCCAGAGCGTCCTCGAATTTCTTGGCTTCAGCTTGCAGTTCAGCGCGGTGCTCTGCAATGCTCGCATCCTCGTCCATGAGCTGTTCGAAGATACCTTGGTCTGGCAATTTCGTATTAGCCAAGGGCGACAGGTTAATATAAAAAGGAAAAGCCAAAAAAAAAAAAAGGGGGGGGGGGGGGGG